TATTCGGTTATATACTATCAACATAAATATAGTTTAAGTGATCTGTAAAATATAAAATGATTGTTATAAATATAGTTTAAGTGATCCTGTAAATATAAAATGATTGAGTTATTGGTATTACGTGATTGATTGTTATATTGATAGAAATCTGTATGTGAAAAACTTACTGGGATACCCAGAAAGTTTTTCACATACAGATTTGGCAGACGGGTCCGATACATAGTGAACCCTATCGTGAATATTATCTCAGTCGAACGAGGCTGGAAAGTCCCTTACCAGTAATGTTTGAGAGATATGGTTCACCCTCACATCGGATGAAGTATCGAGGTGGTAGAATATTTAGTGCTCATTACCGGATGGTTAATGACGGCTGGTTAATTGTTTAATTAGATATTAGGTTCACGAGTAGAGGGACATCCTTATGGATCTGTAGGGGTACCAGTAAGTAGGTAAAAATAGAAAATGATCGTTTCTTATTATTTTATATGTGAAAATAAAAAGTGTATGAATATGAGTTTTCATAGATTACTTTTGAAAATACTTGTTACGTAAATATGGAGTAAATGATTTTCTTTATATTAAACGAATTTACATTAAATTAAGAATTCCATTAGTTATTTTTTTTTATTTTTACCAATCTTCAGTTTTTTGTATCTGTAATTAGTGTGATATTCTTACTGGATTAGTGTATCTTACCATTTGATTAACTATTTCAAATCAAGAAGACCAAAATCCAAATTCCGATAAGAAAGAGGGTTGTGAGTAGTTCACCACCTGAACTCCCTTTAAGTACTAATGAAGGTGGTTCTAGGACATTTATTTATTCATTTTGCTTTAACTACCATTTGTCTTTTAGAAGAGACATTCTTATAACCTTATTGGGTATTCTAAACTATTGTGTAAGGAATGTAAACTCTAACTCTATTATTCGCTTTTGTATTTAATCTATAACTTTATTTCTATTTAAGTTCCGAGCTTCTATACATTGTGTCTTTAGTAAGTACTTTACAGTATTTACTTCTTAGAATTTGCATAATTTAATTTTTGCTTAAATTTTCTTAATTTACAAAAGTAAAATAATAAGATGTATTTTACTATAAAGTTATCATGTTAGCAGTTAATCTTGGACAATTAATTAACTATCTATTAGAAAAAATGAATTCATATTTTTTGTGGTAAATATATTGTCAAACTTATATGATATAAACATTTAGATATTTTTTATTAGAGTTGGAGGACATTTAGCTGCAGTAACCCATTAACAGAATATGAATATAATTATTTTAAATATGTTATGAAATTCATTTTTTGTTCCAAAAAATCTAGTTATTTTATTCATTATAATTAGAATGGAAATTAACTTCACAAAACATTATAAATGTTCCGAGCACAACATACATGTTAACTAAAAGTATACATAAAAATTATATAAAAAAATTGGTTAAACTAGTCATTTGGTATGATTTAAATTTTGTAATATTATTAAAGTGGTAGTTAGAGATCTATTATTCTCAGTAAAACTATGATAATATCATATAATAATATCTTCTAGATAATTCTTGAAATTTATAGCTATGGTATAGTTGAGGAAGAAGCTTTTCAAATTTATTATTTAAAAGAAATATATCCTACGAATTAGCTATTAAGATTTAGCATAGTCTATACTTTATGTCATTTTAGGATACAATAGATGAATGGAATATATCTATATGATTAACTGTTTTGCATTAATACAAAATTTACTTCAATATTTTCAGAGGGTCATGACTCATTACTAGATTTGATCATGTTCTAGATTAACTTGACTCAATGATTTGATTAGAATTTATAATCATGTTGGGGTCAATTAGACCGAAATTTATAAACTTATTACTACTTTGACAATTAAATTTAGTTAAAGTATTGAATTTAGTGAATTACATCCTTCAACATTTTTTAATGGTCTTGACACATTAGAAGATATTGTGCTCTATTATTGTGCAACAACACATGTCTTTCACTTTTAGAAAGCTTTTTCATGTGTTGTCATGAGGAATATATGATTAACCTATTATAAATGAAATGAATATAGTGAATATAAAAAAGAAAATTAAAACCAATAATATACAAAATGAAAATAAATCATAAAGAAAAGTAACAATAAGAAGTGAATTGCCCCTTTAAGAAATATTTGATTTCATTATCATTCATAACAATCATGTGTAGAAAGTGATCATATTCATATTCTTTGTTTTACGATCCATTTTAGTTTATAGTTTATGATTGAGGTGATTTTATTAAAACTTGACCTGTTTTATTAACTTATAGTTAGTATTTCTCTACTTTAGGTTGTTGACCACTTCTCTAAAGAACGATCCTCTATTTATGGAGTCTTTGAGTGAGTAAAATGATTGTTTATTCTTAAAAATATAGAAATCTTATGCCTTATATCAATTTTAATTAGAAAGAATCTCTCGTAACTCTTAGAATTAAATAAAAAGGTATTGAGTAGTTAATTGATCTTTATTATATTTTACTTTTCTTATTATATATGGTCTAAATGTTATTAAACATAATTTTGATACGTCAAGTTAAAATCCATCAAATAGATTAACTAAAGAGAGAAGTGAGTGGTGTATGTTAGTGATTAGTTCACAACATATGGTGAGTAGCATGTGCCATATACCTTTTGGTGCATGCTAATCAGTTAAGATGTACACCACTCATATGCATCATCTTTCAAGTGTGTCACATACTAATATAATAAGCTAAACACTTGGGGGTACACGTAACTGACCTTGAGGTGTACACCTTAGCTCTCTTAAAACAAGTTTTGATTAACTTACATTTATCCTATATTTAAGAATTCTAATAATTTTAATTTAGCCTTGCCAAAATTGTCTCCTCTAAAGCATATCACATTTAGGTTTATCATAATACAATTGTTTAGTGTAACATGTTTACAAAGAAATCAATGCTTATAGTTTCCCCCACTTTGATGTGTTTTGTTTTTTCAAAAACATCTTTTTCTTAATCTTATCATAGTAAAAAAAAATAGTAATCATTAAATTCAAAAATTTATCATATTAAAAGAATAGATCTTTTCCTTAGGTTTAATTCTAGTAGCTATTTCGAAGGCCATTTATGCAGTTGCTTGGCAAGATTCTTTACTCCTTTATCAACTTAGTCGATATGCCTTAAATCTTTTTATGTTGAACAATATTAGACACTTAATATCACTCCTTAGACCTTATAAATCTAAAGTTGAAGATATTCCTACATTTAACAAGTGTTAAATGTTTACACACTCAACATTGGCTACTTTAGGGGTGATATTAGTTAGCTTCTATTTTCAATACTACTTGATAGATTCCTATACTCAATACTAATTAAGCTCTATTAGGTAAGCCATTAGATAAATTCTCGTGCATAATATAAATTTTAATATGTTACTATTTTAACTCTAACTTGGTTAATACAACACAAAATTGAGAAACTTTTTATGCCTATTATCTTGTATGATAAATTCATGCCCTAAACCCTAACTTGGTTCCATAAGTAGAGGTGTTTGATAAATTATTGCACTTGATTGAGTGCTGAATAGACTATTGCACTTGAAAAATGACTCATGCATCTGGTTCATGGTTATTTTTACTTTTTTTTTTATATACAAATGTTCTCATTACATTATTGAATTATTTACCTTGATGATGTTGGAGGAATATTTTAAATTATACAATTGACGAAACATATTATCATTCTAGGTTTTGCGATTGGATACCACTTCTCTACCACTAGATGGTATTTATGGTTATTCTACTTCCATGATTGAATGATATTTATGGCTATCTTGATTTTTTTTAAATTATCTTATGGATGGAGATATCTTGACCATTATAAACTTATGGTTTTTATTCTTTTATGAGTACCAAGGTATTTTTTATTTTAAGTTCTTTTTTTTTTTAATATCATTTAAGATTATTTTCACTTCTAAATTCTTATTTTCCCTAAATTCTAGATTCTATTATGGTTTCTCTTTTTAGATGATGATATGTTTGCCTTTCTTAACCAAGTTATGGATTTTCCTATAAATTCTTCTACTTTATAAAGTTTCATATTTGTCTCAAGATTGATACATTGTTAATTACCATTCAAATTTTTATTGGGCCTCATTAAATAAGAGATATACTATTAGGCTTTTTCCTGAATGTCGTGCCAATAAGGTGGGTACTTGATAGGTTAACGGGACACGCCACTACTAAAGGTCAAGCACCACTGACATAAACCACATACCTCAACAAAATATATTTAAATGCTAAGGATTTTTTTCCTTACTTATCTTATTTGTTATGGAGCTCTTTTCTAAAAGTTCTTTAGCTCTTCTTTCCATTTTTCTCTATTATAGCAAATTTTTTAAATATGAAATGTTCAGTATTTTACTTATCTATTTCATTAAGTGTTAATGTCAACCAAAACTTTCTTGTAGAGTACTTAGAGGAAAATCTATTCCTTTATTTTCACATCCATTTTCTCATTATAATTATTAGGTAGGAGTTGATGTATGTTACGTACTTAACATCTTCTCACTTTTTTGCACATGTAGATAAAAACTAGATTATGAAATAATGTGTTTTGACATAAATACCCTAATATTGTGCATGCTTATATGTTTAGGGCTCATGTGGTTGATGCCTTTACTACTTGTGAGCACTTGATTCATGTGCCATATGCCTCTAATTGGTAGTGCCTTCTTATTTGCTTGATCTTAACTCTAGCTTATAAGGCTTTAGAAGTTTTTTTCACTTTTTTTTATCTATTGTGGTCTGGGAATGAATATTAGAAATAAGCTTCGGGGTCTTTATCTTGTCTGTAATATGAGATTTTGTGGTTAGAATACTTGGTGTTCTCACTTCTTGTTGAGGGATAGACAAACATGACCAATATATCCCATATGCTTGTTAGTAGCTTTTTGTGAATATATCTTATATGCCCATGACTTGGATAGTGATGGCGCATGTTACTCTATTCTTTCGTTATATTATGCATTGTTTAACTAGACGTTGATTATTTTATTTTGATAGCATGATTCTATTTTTGTTATAACTACTTGAATTAGTTCAATAACAACTTACATTTTAATATTTTGCGATTTGAAATTTTTAATATTCAATACATGTGGTTTATTTTTAATTATTTTAGTACTTATGTTTGAGATTTTTTAGTTTCAATCATACACTTTATTTTTAGTAGTTTCAGTCTTAGATCCGAATAGTAATTAAATAATATTATACTAGTACTATTCACTATTTGTATTTAAAAATATTTGACATATAAAAAATTCTTATTAAATTTTTTACCATTAAAAAAACTAAAATTTAAAAAATTAAAACTAAAATAAAAGTTAAATAAAAAAAATTAAGACGCAAAAAAAAAAAATTAAAAATTTTATACTTGAAAAGTTTTGAGGAAGTTTGTGTGTATTAAACATAATAAATTTTTAGGTTTTTAATTTTTAATTTTTGAAAGTTTAATTTGAACATCATATATGTTAAGACTTTTAAAATCCAAATCATCCATGTATTTAAATTAATAATGTTATGTTATCTGATTAATAGTGAAATTACGAGTATTAGAATTACTAAAAACAAACGTACATTAAATATAAAATACTCTTAACAATAAGGTTTGAAGCACAGTTAACTTTTGTTTTAAATATTATAATAATGATAAGATCTCTCAAACATTAAACAAGCCATGAGCGCTGAAAATACTAACAACAACCATAAATATTAAATCTGAAATACCATAAATTTACAGGATATTCAAATTAAATTATGCTTTTTGTTTAAATTATGTAACAATAATAAAATTTCTTAAATGGTACAATAAATTTATGTTCGTTAAGATTAACAAGTCGAGAATATAAAACTTTATAAACATCATCCAAAGGTATCACAAACTCTATAAATTAATAAGATTTGCCACCAAAATATCTAAAAAGACCAATACATAATTGCATCATCTTAAGGATGTTGTTGGTTTCATCCGATTTTAGTGAATATCGTTATGATAAATGTGTAAGTACATTAACTTAACGAAGTTTCTTGAATGGATTAATAATAATGTTACACATTAATTAAGAAAATATTATATTATTTATTTTTATATTTAATATCTGCTATTATCGTTTTATCTATAAAATTTTTATTCAATCAGTATAAAATTTAATTTATTAATGTGTTAATAAAATTGTAATAACAGAATTGAATTTTATTTTGATAATTTATTGCAAATAGTTTGTTACGATTTAAGTTTTTTAAGTTGAGGTAACGACAATAGACTAATTTTCAATATATATATATATATACTTTTTTTAAAATACTCTATAACATTATTGCAGTTAGCTTCTAAAATCTTTAAGAAGTGAAAATGGTACTCGGAATTGAGGTCTCCTCAATACTCATTTAAGTACTAAGACAAAAATTATTTTCTTTTGTAATATCCTAAAGATGAAAGGACTCTATTTGCATAATATAGAAAGATTTCTCCAACTTTTTATAAATTAATAATGTAATCTAAAAAGAATCAAAGAACATTGATTTTATTGGACTGAATAATTTAACGAAAATCTGGTTGCTAATTTGATATTGAACTATATTTGGCACACAATGAAATAAAATAACATGTAATAATTTTGAGAATATGGGAATATACTAATTAAATTCTTAGATATTATTTTAGTAATAATATTGGTATACATACTTTTGAAAAACAATATAAATAACAATAAACCTAATGACCTATCTCAATCTCAAGAATTAAAATGACTGTTTTGCCCATACAAAACAAATTCACTCTTTGGTTCAAGATAGGCTACAGATCTATCAAATAAACAACCCTGGAAGTTCACACGCCAGGCTATGCCCTTAAGAATTTGAATTCATACGGGAATCCTTGAGGCTCTGCATGTCCAGTGAGCATATTAGAGAACCCATCAAAACAACAACATTGTCAATTAGGGTTTTTCAAAGGCTTAGGTTAACCTACCAGCCGTTTGAAGGATCTGCTATTCACTGTTTTCTTTGACCTCTCTGAATCTGGTCTTGCTCGGTCCAATGCCTATAAGACCAAAATATTGGCATTTTTAGCAGCAAACTACGTAGAAAATAAATTAGCAACTAAAGAACAGCGCTGGATGTCGGGCTTGAATTAATGGCGATTGAAAATTATCTTTTTATATGCAACTGACTGTCAGGATAAAACTAATTGCAATGAGCTCACGTTTTTTCCCATCCTCTTAGGAAGTCAGAATCCTCATAGAAATCTACAGTAGTAGTCAACATAAATCCAGTGCCACTCATCTTTTCCGCAATTCCAATCAATAAAATCCCAACTGATAATAGAACAGTAAATAGCATCTAAAATGGATCTAGAGAGAAACTCTTAAGAGATGTACACTCAAAAATACAGAGATCGAGCAGAGAAAGTACATTGTGGTGTGTCCATATGCTTATCTATGTACGGATACCAGAGTATTTCATCAGTCAGACCAAAAACAACCCACATTTTTACTGTAATCGATACCACTCAATCACTGAAAAGCTAGTGAGACTATCGACAGTGAAAAACAAATTACAAGATAAAGACAAATATATAGCTGAAGAAGAAAAAGCATTTACCTGGATCAGAGACTCAACGCGACGCCGCATTCGGGTGTGCATAAATCCCTCAGAGCACTGGGAAATATTCAGGGGGAAATTCAATGACAAGCAAGTCAAGAATGTAGAACTAAGTCGAGCGTTGAATAACAATAATATTAAGAAAAATAAACTTCTAAGGTTGAATTTTGTTCAAAATTTAATTCTATAAATAAGAATAGAAGTATAATATAAACTAAATAAAATTTTAAACAAACATAACATTTTAATGTCTAATTAATGTTTGATGTTTTTGTGATTTCTTTCTTGACATGCGAGAGTACATATTCTTATTGTAGAATTAAACATATATGTTGAGTTGGTGTAATTATGCATCAACTATACAAAATTATAACTAACAAATTTTACATATAAAAAAGTTTAAATGTAAAAATTGAACGAGAAATTATAATAGGCTTGAACCAAATGTAACGTAAAAAAGATATAAATGGATACAAATACAATCTCAACCTTTAACACTACAGCCTCAAGTTTTGAACTTATGCCTAACACTTACCAGCTTCAGGACTTTACACATGCACTAGGCACTACCAAAGTATTGACAATAAGACTTTTTTTTTTTATATAAGAAGAACTATATTTTGTGCCTGCACGATAGAATAAATTCTGGGAAACCTGTTCAACAAAGCCACATTATCAATCCAGGCATCCTTCCAAAATCTGATTTTGTTGCCCCTACCAGCCTTCCACCGCAAATTTTCCTTAAACTGCGGCCATTGCATCAGAATTTTCCTCCACAAACTCTTGCCATGAGTTCTTCTGGGCCTTATTACCCTACTGTCATCCCACACAAGATCACCCCAATGGATCCGGACATCTGCCTCCGCAATTTATCCTCTCATGTAAAAGCGTC